ACAGCACCTCTCTCTACATGTATTTGCAGAGAGCATTCTGCCAGCAAGGATCCCCAGGTTCCTACAGGTCCTCACAGTGCCCTTGAACATGACCTATCTGAGTGGGTGGCACCTTACTTGAGGCAGTCTGTGCTTTAAGAGGATCTTTGCTCTGTTTCCCCTTGCTTTCTTAAGGATCATTCTATATGACAAAAAGCCATAGCCAAACAGGAATTGGAAATCAATCAATCTGTAATCCCTCCCTCCCTCCCTCCCTCCTCCTCCTTGGCATTGTACCACCAACCCAAGTAAATCTTTTCTCTGATGTTTTCTCTTTTTCCTGTTTAAAATTAGAAAATGCCTTTTGGAGGAGCTGGCAGAATGGCACAAGTGGTAGAGTGCCTGCCTAGCAAGCGTGAGGCCCTGAGTTCCACTACCATGAAAAAAGAGAGAGAGAAAGAAAACCATTCTAAAAGGCTGGGCACCAGTGGCTCACATCTGTAATCCTAGCTACTCAGGAGCAGAGATCAGGAGGATCCCAGTTATAAGCCAGCCCAGACAAATAGTTGACAAGACCCTATGTCAAAAAAACCCATCACAAAAAATAAAAGACTGGTGGAATGGCTCAAGATGTAGCCTTGAGTTCAAACCCCAGTGCCTGAGTTCAACCCCAGTCAAATAACACCTTTCAGGAGGACCAGGCATGGTGATTTACACCTGTCATCCCACCTACTTGGCAGGTACTTTACCACTTGAGCCACACCCCCAGCCCTTTTTCGCTTTACTTATTTTTCAGGTCGGGTCTCCTGTTTTTGCCCATGATCCTTCTATCTATGGCTTCTTATGTAGCTGGGACCACAGGTGTGTACCACTGTGCCCAGCTTTTGATTGGTTGAGACGGGGTCTTATTGAACTTTTTGCCTGGCCTGGTCTCGGATCAATGCCCTGAGTTCAAGAAAAACTTTTTTCAGGGCTCAAGAGAGTGGTAGGGGAGATGAGCTGTAATTGTGGGGATTATCTGAGCTAAGTAGTTACTGTGTATGCTGGTCCTTTACCTGGAGGGCACTTTCCAGAGCTCACTCCCCACACAGCCACTGAGGACCTTTCAGTATCCTCATTTTCACAAGAGACAGAGAAGACATGATGTGGCCCTGCTTCTGGAAGTTAGGAGCACACTTCTTCAAGACCCAAAGTGTTTGAGGCCTGTCTTCAAAATGGCTGAATTACAGTGCTCTGCTCAGCCTCTCCTTACAGACCATCAGTGGTTCTTTGCCATATGCTACTTTTTTGAAATTAGGTCACAAGCACATTGAGTCTAGTCATTTCCTCTGCCTTCGTGGGGAGGATTTTAGCAGCAGATATCCCTCCTGCTTTAATGGCAAGTGAACACCAGCTTCCAGCACATAGAAACTTCAAGACACAAGAACAGCACTCCCTCCGGCCTTAAGTCTTACCTGCAGGACAAGCCTCCCTCCATCATAGCATCTATTTGAGTTAACTGGTTTCCTCACCAGAGTCTAAGAGAAAGTGTCACTTGTAAACAGAGGGAAATGAAATCTCATGGCAAACTGGAAGGTTTTTGTCAGTTACTTGTTGTCCCTGCAGCTCTCCAAATGGAGAAGGGGAGGGGAAGTAGTTTGTGAGATAATTCATGCCAGAAAGAGTTGGCTGTCAGCAAAGCCAAGGACCTCCCTACTGCTGTGATAACAGAGTTTTGGCCATACCTTAGCCCCCACCTCCAACTTCAGCTACTCTGAGTGTTTTTCCAACAAATTCATCTACTGGCCACACTCTGCAAAATCAGCTGAGACTGGACTTTTAGAAATACATCAGTCAGGGCTGTAGCTCAGCAAAGGAGCACTGCCTAACGTGTAAGACCAAGGGGCCGGGTATGGTGGTGCATGCCTGTAACTACTCTGAAGGCAGAGATGGGGAAGATAGAAGTTTGTGTAAAAGAGTTAGTAAGATCCTGTTTCAACCAATAAGCTGGGTGTGACACTGCATACCCAGCTACTACGATAAATAGGTCCAAGGCCTGCCCAGGCAAAAAGCATGAGACCCTATCTGAAAAGTAGCTAAAGCAAAATGGCTCAAGTGGTGGAGTACCTGCATAACAAGTGTGAAACCCTGAGTTCAAACTCTAGTACTGCCAAAAAGAAAATTAACACATGGCTCAAAACCCTAGTTCATTCCCAGCATCTCCCCACACACACAAAATTGACACACATGGATGCTAGAAAAAATCTTTTTTATCCTAATTTATAGCTGTGGTTTGTTCCATAACAGACTTAATCTCAGTATGGATATGAAGATGATGAACTTGAGAAAAAGCAAAAATTTCAAAGAAATTAGCTCTCTTCTGAAAATAAGTCCTTGCAAGATTTGTTTGACATACTGAAGAACACAGTCCAAAAAGCATTTTTCTTTTTACTTAAAAGTAATCCCCGAGGGCTGGGGATATACCTCAATGATAAGGTAATCAGAGTTTAATGAGAACCTTAAGCCAATGTTTTAGCTTTTTTTTTTTTGGTAGTACTGGGGTTTGAACTCAGGAACTACACCTTGAGCCACTTCACCAGCCATATTTTTTGTGATGGGTTTTTTCAAGATAGGGTCTCACAGACTGTTTGCACAGGCTGGCTTTGAACCATGATCCTCTGATCTCTGCCTCCTGAGTAGCTAGGATTATAGGCATGAGCTCTGGCACGCGGCCACAATACAATACACCAAACAGTACACTTGGTCTCTGAATACACCAAAGGCCTTCCACTAAATACCTTTATATTTAGCATGAGCTCCGGCAAATATATTTATCCTTCAGTATCTGAAGGGAATTGGTTCCAGGACCCCAGCAAATGCCAAACTCCTTAATTGCGTAAGTCGTCTGTATAAAATGGCTTTATATTTGCATGTAACCTCACACACATGCTCTCCTGTATATTGGTTGTTTTCTGAGGGTCTTCTCTATGTAGCCCAAACTCTCAATCCTCCTGTGTGAGCCTCCAGAGTGCTGGGATTATACACATGTGTCACCTCACCCAGCTCTCATGTACTTTAAATCATCTCTAATTACTTTTTATCTAATGTAAAGTAAGTTCTATGTACATCATTGTTATACTGTGTTATTTAGGGCATAATGACAAAAATGTATATATTCTGTTAACAAGCTTTTTAAAAATAGAATATTTTCAATTCTCTGTTGAATTGTCAGATACAAAGGATCAGCTATATAGTTTTATTTCTTTCATTCATATTTCCAGGATGTATGTTTTTTGGGGTGAGGTTAGTGTTCTTTTGCTTTTTGAGACAGGGACTCAATATGAAGCACAGAGTGGTCTCGAACTCCCCATCCTCCTGCTTTAGCCTCCCTAAGTGCTGGATTACAGAAATGTAATACTATGCCCAGCTTCTAGGATGTATGTTCAAGAATTGTCAGGCGTGCTCTCTTCGGCAGCATATATACTAAAATTGGAACAATTCAGAGAAGATTAGCATGGCCCCTGTGCAAGGATGACATGCAAATTCATGAAGCATTTCATATTTTTTTTTAAAGTGTTTAAGAGCTGGGCACTGATAGCTCACATCTGTAATCCTGCCTACTTGGGAGGTTGAGATCAAGAGGATCATGGTTCGAGGCCAGCCCAGGCAAATAGTTCCCAAGACCCCATCTCCAAAATACCTAGAGCAAAAACAGATGGGAGGTTTGACTCAAGGAGTAGAACACCTGCTTCGCAAGTGTGAAGCCTTGAGTTCAAACCCTAGTCCCACCAAAAAAAAAAAAAAAGTGTCAGGACATTATTTTTAGGAGAGAAGAGAAAGTGGCTCTAAAGAACACTTACATAGCATGATTGTGAGGCCTCAGGGAGCTACATAGATAGAAAATTCAGAGGAAGCAAGTCAAGGACACAGGCTGTCTTACAAAGGAGGAAAAATAAAACTTGAGGGTCTCATAGCTGGAAAGGCTACAGATAAATCCTGAAATAGGGACTAACAGGCTATGGATATAGCTCAGTGGTAAAGTACTTGTGTAGCATGCATGAGGTCCTGGGTTCAATCCCCAGCACCATACCCGTAAATAAATAATTTTACTTACAGGGGATGAGACCAGTTTGCCACACATAAAGCAAGGTGTTACTGTTGCCATGGTGGTGAGTTAACCTTGGAGCCAGAGCCATTCACCTTGAAGGCATGTGGTCCAGGCTGTCCCTGTGGTTGCAGAGCGTAATTCACATATCAATTGGGCAAAATCAAGGCAAGCAGCTGCTGTGATAGGCTCTGGAGACTAGCTATGCACAAAGCAAACCCCTGCATTGTGAGCTTTGATGCTATAAAGAGAGCTAAAGCAGATAGAGAAGGGAGACCTGTTGGAGAGTTCCACATCTTCAGAGATGTTTGGGGCATGCCTCTCTGAGGATGTGCTTTGAGTGATGGCCTAAATCAAATGAAGGACTGACCGTGCAAATAATCCAGATGACAAAAGTAGCATGTGCAAAGGCCCTGTGGCAGTGTCACCCTTGTTACAGGTTTTCAAGCTACTGGGCTACAGTCAGACAGCAATAGGGCTCACAGAGGATCCTCATCCATGAAATAGAATTTGAAGATGTGGTCAGAGCTTGTAGGGTTAGGTGGCGCACTGAAAACCCCCATATCTGAACAGGAAGAATACAAGAACCAGACCAGAGGACAGTGCCAGGTCCAAGCCTGTGAGTTAACACTCACCCTGTAGTTTCCAGACTGGGGTTGATAAAAAAGGGTCTGCTACCAGCACAGGCCCTACACTCTGATTCCCACAGGCACACCTATGTGTTTCACCTCATCTTGTGAACCAGCCTCTTAGGCAGAAGGACATGACAGCAAGTAGAGGTAGGGTGGCAGGGAGGGACAAGGGAATGTGTTGTCAGAAGAGATAGTGTCAGGCCCCATACGTGCTCACTGAGGCTTTGTGAAGGACCCACTGTGTGTGGTCCAATTGAGAGGGAACTACAAAATGGTGTAATGCTGTGATCTCTCCTTTTCCCCAGGAACTGGTCCGGCAGCGAGGAGTCCTAGAACGCACAGAGAAGATGGTGGACAAGATGGATCAAGATTTGAAGACCAGCCAGAAACACATCAACAGCATTAAGAGTGTGTTTGGGGGGTTTGTCAATTACTTCAAATCCAAGCCAGCAGAGACCCCCCCTGAGCAGAATGGCACCCTGGCCCCCCAACCCAACAGCAGGTGAGTACGGCTTCAACCATCAGGATATAAAGTAGCAGAAGTCGGCATAGTGTAAATAGTCAGTACTTTCAGGCCTTGTCAGTACCTTCAAGTTGTCCAGGAACCCTGTAGTTTACTTATTGGAAGGGATTCACCTTCAGACATGCTGAAAGAAGATCTTTTCCTTCCTACTCCTGCCTATGTCCATTTCACTGACATGCAATCTGTAAATCTACAGAAACTGTCATTAAATTTCCTGCTCCAGTCATTGTGACTCTAGTGCTTTGAAACAGAATGTTCACCACAGGAAGTTTAATCAGTACCAATGTAACTCACTTTACAGAGTTTTTCCTTAAAAAATTTCACCAAAAGAGTTGGGCATAATGGCTTATGCCTGAAATCCTGTCTCAGGAGACAGAGATCAGGAGGATCATGGTTCAAGGGCCAGCTTGGGCTATATAGGAAGACCCCGCCTCAAAAAAAATCACACATGCACACGCACAAATCACAAATGCACATAAGGGTTGGGGATGTAGCACTACGGTAGAAGGCTTCTCTAGCATGTGTGCGGCCTTGGATTCCATCCCTACCACCATGAAAAGCATAGATGTCATTAAATAAATAAATAAATAAATAATGTCTTCCTAGCCAACTTTTCTGTATCTCATCCAGTTTGCCCATTACTTCTATTTTAAAATTAGACATTGTTTTCCTCAAAAGTTTTGGCCAGGAGCTGGAGGAATAGCTCAGGCGCCTACCTAGCAAGATTGAGGCCTGGAGTTCAAACCCCAGTACTAGGGGAAAAAAAAAAAAAAGAAAGTTTTGACCAGAAATATAATAAAAGAAGGTTTTGGCAGGCTTAAGCGTTGCATGTTTAAAGATAAAAGAATTTCTGCTAAAACCGATTACTACTATTCATATCTCAGATCGTTGTCTGTTTATTATTAAAACACTATGTCCATATTATAGAGCATTATTCTTTACTGCAACACAAAAAGTGAAAATTGTTCCTTTGGTTGTTTGGGAGGGGGGTTGTTTGTTTGTTTATTTTGGTTTTTTGAGATTAGGTCTCACTCTAGCCCAGGTTGAAACTCACTGTGTAGTTTGAGGCTGGCCTCAAACTCAAGAGTCTCTTGTCTTCACCCTCCCAATTGCTGAGGTTACAGATATGCATCACTGCACCCAGCTTCTTTGGTTTTGTAGGCTGTTTCTTCCATTTAACCCAGAGAAATTGTTTGATAAAATGTGATTATACAGGTTTCATAGCCATCTTTCTTATCTAACCCCCGCCCCAGTTCTAATTCTGTAATACAGAGCTATTTTGTGTGTCTGATAACTTTTTCTTTTTTAAAAAAACATTTTTATCGGTTTATAATAGTTGTAACAGGAGGTTTCCTTGTGGCACTTCCATATGTGCATACAGTGTGCCCGGGTGTGGCTCATCACCACCATTGTTCTCCCTCTTCTCCCTCCCCATGCGTAAAATGACTTCATCAGGTTTTCGTGTTCATATTCACATATATGTCAGTGGCAACTTTTTCTTTTTTCTTTTTTGGCTGTACTGGGGTTTGAACTCGGAGCCTCAAGCTTGCTAGGCAGGCACTCTACCTATACCACTTGAGCCACTCTGCTAGCCCTTTTTTGGGTATTGGATATTTTCAAGACAGAGTCTTGTGAATTGTAAGGCCTTACACATACCCAGCCCAGAAGAACTACACACCCAGCCCAGGAGAGCTATTTTTAAAAAAATGTATAGAGCCACAGTAAAATGCCTGCACCTTAGGTGGAGAGCTAATGGTTATGTGGCTGTGTACACACCACCCAGATGAAGATGTAGGATACAGGTAGGAAGAAACTGGGAATCTATTTTAAGCTCACAGTAGAGATGGTTAGAAATGAATGTAGATGAAGGAGCCAGTGGTAGTAGAAAAAACAGGCAGGTACAGAGCAGAAATTGTAGAATGGGAGGTCTCCATGTCCTGGGGGCTACTTCCCATTGATGTGCTAGCCAGGTTTTTGAGAGTTTGTTGGCTCAACCATAATCACCATTCTTCCAGATTTTCTAGCTTACATCTGTCACTCTTTTCTCCCAAACAGAAGTTTGTTTTTTTCTTTGGATATATTTAATTACAGGTTGAGTATCCTTATACAAAATGCTTAGGTCCAAAAACGTTTTGGATTTCAGAGGCTTTTGGAATTTGGAATATTTGGAATATTGCATAGACTTTACTGGTTAATTATCCCTAATCCAAAAATGTGAAATCTGAATGCTCTGAAATCTGAAACTTTTTGAGTGCCAACACATTGCTCAAACAGTTTCACAGTCTGGAGCAGTTTGGTTTTGAATCTTTGGTTTACAGATTGCTATACCTGTACCAGAAGCATTGGTAGGGTGCTCATTCGCTTGAACTAAGCCATATTCCTTGCACAAACAGAATAAGAGCAAGCTCTCAGGAAGCTGGCAAGGTTTATTTGCTTGTTTGTTGCAATACTGGGAAGTGAACCCAAGCTCTCATGTATGACGGGCAAGTGTTCTGCCACTGAGCAAATGTCCCCAGCCCTTTTTTATATTATTTTGAGCCAGGATATTGCTAAATTGCCTAGGTTAGCCTAGAACTCAAAATTTCCCTGTCTCAGCCTGCTGGGTGCTGGGATTACAAGTGTGCACCCTGGCACACATCCCACATACCTCCTCCTGGGTCTCTTTTTTTTTTTTTTTCTATTTTTTTGGCAGTACTGGGGCTTGAACTCAGGACCTACACCTTGAGCCATTCCACCAGCCCATTTTTGTGACAGTTTTTTTCGAGAGAGGGTCTCATGAACTATTTGCCTGGGCTGGCTTTGAACTACGATTCAAGACCTCCTGGGTCTCTTGAAGGCCTCCCCAACCCTGAACATGATTCTAAAAGCCTTTAAGGTCAGTGGTTCCAAGGGCAGTTTTCTTTTCTTTTCTTTTCTTTTTTTTTTAAAGCATCTTGAAAACTTGAGGCCTTACCAACAAAGGCTTCCCAGTAGTGAGACAGCCATAGTATTTCAGTGAGGTGAATCCCAAGGTGCCCAATGTCATATGCCCTGCAAATGACAGCACTTTTTTTTTTTTTGGTTTTTCAGGACAGAGTCTCACTGTGTAGCCCTAGCAGACTTTGAACTCATGATCCTCCTGCTTCAGCCTCCCAAGTGCTGGGATAACAGATATGTACCACCAGGCCCAGCTGAAAAAGCAGATTTTTTTTTTTTTTTTTTTTTTTTTTTTTTTTTTTGCAATACTGGGGGGTTTGAACTTGGCTTCACACTTGGTATGCAGGTGCTCTACAGCTTGACCATACCTCTAGCCCATAAGCAGGGCTTTTAATTAAAGTAACTCACACTAATTCAGCTGTTACCCAAATGTGCATTGGGGTGAATCTGTGTGGCTTTTAAGGCGATACTACTCCAGTGATACTGCATGATCCCTTCCTTCATGTGTCCTGGGTACCCATGCTCTACCTGCCTGTTAACTGTGACAGGAGTCAAAGCTATAAGAGCACAGTTCATCTGTTGGAGGATATAGGAAACAGTCATTCAACAAGGAGGGATACAGTGAAGGCCCCAAGAAGGAGAGGAAGGAGGCACAGAGGAGCTGACATTTTGCATAAAATCATAATTGAAGGAGGGATTCAGGAGAAGACACATGGCAAAGTTCAGGAGAGGCAAGGGCCCAGAAGGCCATTGACTGTTTCAAGAATTCATCAAGGGGATGGGAGTGTGGCTCTGTGGTACAGCAATTGCCCAGTGTGCAAGAAGTCCTAGGTTCCATCCCAAGCATGAGGCAAAAGTGAAAAAGCACAACAGGCTCTTGACAGTGAGCTAAAGCCTGCAGTTCCTTGGCCCTCAATCTGCAAAAATCACTGCAGTGTACATCGCTTCTACAAGAGGCAATAAATGGTAACATTTTTTTGATCTTTTCAAAACTCTTAATCCATAAAGCAGGAATATTATGCCTTAAAAACTCTTAAAATAATCACATGTCTGTTGAGTCATGTGTTTTCTGGGTGCATCCTCATCACTCAAACCCTTCGGCCTTCTCTACAGCTTTGTGTGTCTCTTGGCAAGCCCCTTCTGTCCTTACTGACCCAGCCTTATTAGCGGCATGTCCTTGTTCCCACAAGAAGTTCATAGGGAATCATTCCTGTCAGAGATGTAACCTTCCTTCCAATTTGAATTCTCTAACTTACCCAAGATGTGGTTTCAACCAAGGGCCACCTCTCTCTTACACTTCACTTTCTTGTCACTTCTGTCATTATCCCTAGAAATTGATTTTCTTTAGGGCTGAGCCATTTTTCACCCAGAAACCAAGTTCTCTTGACTTGTGTATCATTCCTGTGGATGTAATGGTACATAGAAAAAACAAAGTCACTTGTAAGATAGATGTGCAAGCTGGGTAGTAGTCAGGTGGATTCAGAAGCCAAGTGTCTCCTCCCACACACGCAGCCTAGCAACCCACAGCTTGCAGCATGCTCAGAGGAACCAGATGTGCTTTTTAGACCTTCAGTCACTGCTTCAGAGTGATGAAACCCTCCATTCCAGGAGACTCTGCTATATTCTACCTGCAGCTGGAACCCTGGGGGCCTGCAAACCTGTTAGCCTTCTGGAGTCTGGACTGGTTTTTAAGAGTAGGCAATCAAAGAATTTAACAGAGGGCTGGGAATGTAGCTCAGTAGTAGAGTGCCTAGCATGCACAAGGCCCTGGCTTCTGTCGCTGGCACTTCAAAAAATCAACTGAAAAACATTAGAAGGAAAAGAAAATTTAACTGGAGTAGGATGTGGTGCACGCCTGTAATCCTAGCACTTAGGAGGCTGAGGCAGGAGGATCACATGTTGGGGGCCAACCTGGGGTACATAGCAAGGCCCTATCTCAAGAAACCAAAGAATAAGGGTGTGCTCAGAGCAGGGGGCCTGAAGAATGGCTCCTCTGTTTACAACACACCCGATAGGAATCTGGGGTCATTGTGATGAGGGACACATTTGTGGCTTCCTTATGAGAAAATGCCCTATACATTCTCCTCCACTGGCTTCCAGATAGTATCAGTGGGATAGGGTTCAATACTGGGGGGAAAGCTGCAGGGAAGGAGACTATAGAGCCCATCCAGTCCATGTATGAGTGGTCCAAATAAAGACTTTAAACCTCTTATAAAAAAAAAAAAAAATTGGGTGCCAGTGGCTCACACCTGTAATCTTGGCTACTCAGGAGGCAGAGATCAGGAAGATTGTGGTTCAAAGCCAGCCCAAAACAAAAAGGGCTGCCAGAGTGACTCAAGTGATAGAGTGCCTGCCTAGCAAGTGTAAAGCCCTGAATCCAAACCCCAGTACCACCAAAACAAAACAAAAAAGCCAAAACCAAAAAATAAAGACATTAGCTGGTGAAGCGGATGTCAAGATTGTTTTAGAAAGATCCTGGGCAAACAGAGAATAAAGATTGGAAAGGAGGGTATGGATTTAGAGACATTGACGTAATCCATATAAGGCTAGAGAGGTAATACAGGATGGGACAGATTTCTGAAACATATTTCTTCCTGGAGAGAGGAAGATCTAGAGGTTGTTTGCCCAGATTTCTGTACATAGTACCCTACAGAGGATAAAAATGCGGATAACTAGCTAGACGTGAGGGTATGGATTTAGAGACATTGACGTAATCCATATAAGGCTAGAGAGGTAATACAGGATGGGACAGATTTCTGAAACATATTTCTTCCTGGAGAGAGGAAGATCTAGAGGTTGTTTGCCCAGATTTCTGTACATAGTACCCTACAGAGGATAAAAATGCGGATAACTAGCTAGACGTGCACACCTGTAATCCTAGCGAATAGAGAAGGTTGGAGGCAGGTGGTCGAAGAGTTGGAAACCAGCCTAAGCAGTATAGTGGGACCCTGTCTCAAAAAAATAAATAAATTAAATAAAATAAGGGTTGGGGATGCAGCTTAGTGGTAGAGCACTTGCCTAGCATATGCAAGGTCCTGAATTCAATCCCCAGCACCAAAAACCAACAAAAAAAAAAAAAAATGATAATTATGGCCGGGCTGTTGTTGGGCAGAAATAGAGAAGCACAGGCTGTTAGGGGGGTCTCAGCTCCCACGTGGAAGTCCTTCTGTACTCCTCATGGCTCAGTAGTGTTAAGCACAGGCTGATAAACTGTCTATAACCAGAGCCTAGAAAGGAGGCTTTCTGCACCAGGAAGTAAAGATAATTTGTAGGGACTCACATAATGAGAGGAAAAAACAAATTTTTACAAGTTTTTAGTGACAAACTCCAATATTTAAAAACAATACTAGTTCAGTATAATCTTTGGCAATCTGAGTCTATTAATGAGAATGAAATTCTTTTTCCTTCTTTTTTTTTTGGGGGGGTGGTGGGCATGCTGGGGATTGAACCCAGGGCTTTGCACATTCTAGGCAAACCCTGTACTACTTAGCTCTTTCCACAGCCCAAGAATGAAATTCTTCTTTTTCTCCTTTGCCATCACTGCCAAGAATTAAATTCTTAATTGAGGTTCAAAGTTAATGGTCCCTATCATCCAGCCCAGTGCAAGTAGTCATCTGTATAGGCCATTCATTGCTGTGGCTATATAAAACAAGTGGTGGGCTAGGCACTGGTGGCTCACACCTGTAATACTGTCTATTCAGGAGACAGAGATTAGGAGGATCACAGTTCAAAGCCAGCCCGGGCAGATAGTTCACAAGACTGTATCTCGAAAAAACCCATCACAAAAAAGGGGTGGTAGAGTGACTCAGGGTGTAGGCCCTGAGTTCAAGCCCCAGTACCACACACATACACAAGTGATGGAATTGTTATATGTATATTATCTCAGGTTTTTTGGGTTTTTTTTTTTAATAGGGAATTGGGCATCGTAGTACATACCATTAATCCCAGCACTCAGGAGGTTGAGGCAGGAGGATTGCCAGTTCTAGGCCAGCCTGGGCTACATAGTAAGACCCTTTTTGATTAAAAAAAAAAAAGGTGAGGGGAGAATACAGTAGACTCTTGGTATCCACAGGTATATGGTTCTAAGGAAACCACCATTGAGAAAACCCCACAAATGCTCAGGATGCATACATAGAGTTCAGTGCTATACTGCAGACACTTGATTTGTTTTTCCCATAAGGCTACCCAACTTCTCCTACAGACATGCTGCCTTTCAACAAATCTTAGAGTTTTACTTTGACACTTAAATTAAGCACATCCACTTTTACCATGCTATTTGGGCACCAGTTGCTTTTTAGGAGACAGATTTTCACAAAATTAAGGGCACAGAAACACTCAGCAGATTATACAATGATTTAAACACAACTGATGATAACATGGGACTCACTGAGAACTTTACTGGGTCCACTGAGCTGTGTGATACATGCATAGGAATTTAAAATTTTTGTCTTTGAAATTTATTTATTCTGATCATGCTTGGTGAAAACCATGTGTAATAAATCCACAGATAAGGCTGGCTTACTGTAGATAGTGGACCACATTTGCTCTATTGGTCATAATTTGCTGACCTGTGATCTAACATACTCACTTGATAATTTCATCTACTTTTCATCTACCTGCTTATAGGACTCCTCATTATCCTAAGTAAGGACCACCTAACAAGATGCTGTGCTTCTAAGGCAGGGGTCTTCCTCACCTTCCTGTGCAGCCCATCATGCTCCCAGGAAGGACTGTTGAAATCCCTTCTTTAGCTAGGAGAGGCATTTGATCTTCAGCACACAGGCATCACTTAAGAAGACTGATAACACTGTCATAGGTGTTTTTCTTTCTTAAATCTTTTCTTTTCATCCAAAGATTGAAAGAAGCCATAAATACGAGTAAAGAGCAGGAAGCAAAGTACCAGGCCAGTCACCCAAACCTCAGAAGGCTGAATGATGTAGGTAAGTGGAGATCTGTGTGCATATGCACATGTGGATCCTGTGGGTAGCCTCTGGCTTAGGCCTGAGGGGCATGGGGACAGCCATCTCCAGTGATGGGCCAGGGCTCTAGCAGCTGGCCTCCCATGTGCTGAGCAAAGGGTATTACAGCCCAGGCCTGTTCTCAGGGAAGCAGAGGTATGTGTAACAATGAAGTTCTTCCCTTCCTGCATCATGGAGGGTGAATTAAGAAAGTGGGGACATCTCATTGAACCTGAGCATGCCTGCCATTGGTTACAGCCTAGTGGAGCTCTGAGCAGTTCCTGCAGTGAAAAGGCAACTATCGGAACAACCATTACAGTAAGTAAAAGAATGGTCCCCCAGAGGTGTCTTTTTCCTAGTCCTCAGAGTCTATGAATATGTTAGATTATAGACAAAGGAGAATTATTCATGTAGATGGAGTTTTAGTTGCTAATCAGCTGACCTTATGATAGGGAGACTATCCTGGGTTATCTAGTTGGACCCAGGGTCCTCACCAGGATCCTTCTTAGGGGAAGACAAAGTAGGGCATGGTAGTCCACACTTGTAATCCCAGTACTGGAGAGGCTGGGGCAGGAGGATCAAGAGTGAGACCAGCCTGGGCCACATCACAAGACCCCGAAGGGGAAAAAAAAATAACAGACCACCCGATTGAAGAAGAGCCATGGGTCAGGACAGACTGACATGGACACAGTTCATTGTGGAAAGGTGAAAAACATGGGAGAAAGAGAAAACTAAAATGCAAAGGGTCCAAGAAAACCTACCTCAGTGTCACATCCTGGAGAAGCAGAAAAAGATCCTGAACCGGAAATACACAATTTTAAAGAATTAAAGGGAATGTTTATTTGTGTGGTGTATGTTAACTTAAGAAAGTTAAACAACAAATAAATAAGGCCAGGCATGGTGGTTTATGCTTATAATCCCAGCTACTTGAGAGCTGGAGATGGGAAAGATTTCAGTTCGAGGCCAGCCCAGGCAAAAAGTTAGCAAGATTCTATCTCAGAAAACAAGCTAAGGGCTGGCACCTGCCTCAAAAGCACAGAGTTCAAACTACTACAGCACAAAAAAAAACCCCAGCTACTCAGAAGGAAGAGGTAGGAGGATCAAGATCTGAGGCCAATCCTCAAGACAAAACCTTGAGATCATATCTGAAAAACAAACTGAAGCAAAAAAGGAGCTAAAAGGGCTGGGGGTTGACTCAAGAGGTAGAGCACTTGCCTAGCAAGCTCCAGGCCCTGAGTTCAAATTCCAGTACTGCCAAAAAAGACACTGTAAACTGGTTTAGGCAGGTTGGTGCTGGAGTTACACAGCTGGACCTTCATGTTCGTGGATTTGATCTTCAGGTCCCAGTCAACAGATTGAGCCTTCTGATGAGTCAGAGTGTTCTGAATGGAAAATTAACTGTGCTATACTGAACATGTACAAGATGCTAAGTCTCGCCATTAGTCCCTAACCAGGGCAGTGTAACAGCTATTTACATAGCATTTGCATTGTATGAGGTATTGTAAATCATCTAGAGCTAATTTAATGTATGGAGAAGGAGGTACATAGGTTATATGCATTTTATATAAGGATCTGAGCATCCCTGGCTTTTGATATCCAAGGATGATCCTGGAAACAATCCCCCTAGGATAGGGAGGAACAGCTGTTTGCTCAGTGTAAAAAGAGATGTTTCTCCAAAATGGGTAATGAGATGACATGGCCTTTCTGTTTGTATTTAGAATTTTTCTGTTTGTGTTTAGAAGCTGAAGTCCAAGGAGCTTTCTTGAGGCAAATGTGCATTATTTAACATTTCCTTTTTGCTTGTTTAAGTGAAAAGACAGCATAGAAATCAATTTCCAACAAAACAAAACACCCATAATCCATTTCCGTAATATAACAACTTTGATTTTTTTTAACCCTGTCTCTGCTGGTGTGGTAGTGTGTGTACCTTTAGTCCCAGCTACTCAGGAGACTGAGACAAGAGGATCGCTTGAGCCCAGACCTTCAAAGTAAGCCTGGCAACATAGGCTTATATCAAGACACTGCCTCATAAAAAATGGGAAGGAGAGAAAGAAAAAGGGAAGGGCAGGGAGAGCTGGTCACCAGTGGCTCACGCCTGTAATAGTTCTCAAGACCCTATCTCAAAAAAAATTCATCACATATAAGAGCTGGTGGGGTGGCTCAAGCAGTAAGAGCACCTGCCTAGTAAGCGTGAGGCCCTGAGTTCAAACCCCAGTGCTACCAAAAAAAAAAAAAAAAAGGCAGCATGGAGGGAAAGGGAAAAGAAAGACCAAGAAGGTTGGAGGAATAGCTCCATGATATAGTATGTGCCTTGCATGCACAAGGTCTGGGTTCAGTCCACAGCACCAGAAAAAAACAAATACAATACAACCTTGTCTCCAACACCTTGTCTGTGAGCCTGGATAGTTTTGTATTGATTTAGTTCCCTACTGTGCTGTTTCTTGTATGCATCTCTTTCCAAAGCTTATGTCCTGCTGTCTAACCAGGTAATCCATACACCGAATCCCTTTGATCTCCCAAGGGCTAAGGGAAAAAAGCTGGAGCCCCCATCTACTCCCTTGGGAACATCTCCCTCCAGCCCATGAACCTGCCCTGGGCTCCTCCCTCATGTGATATATCCATTCCCACCTCTGATCCTCTGCATAACCTTAGAATCAGCCATCTCATTCCTTCCACTCATTTTCCAGATTAACATGGTGGGGCTTAGAGAGTAACTAGTGTTAGAGCACTTGCCTGTCATGAGTGGCATCCTTGGTTCTATCTCTAGGTCCACAAAATAAATAAATAAGATCAATTCCATGAAGCAGCATTTCAAGGGACATCAGTTAACCATTCTTCTGGTGTTTCTAAATTCAGACTCAGTCTCTGGAGGGCCTGGTTCTGCTGTGAGTACTGAGGCTTACCCGAAAAACCTGCACCTTCGAGCCTATCACCAGAAGATCGACAGCAACCTAGGTAAGACCGAGAGCTGCACCAGCCTCTGAACTGTTCATCCTCCAGACAGCACATTCCAGACACAACCAGTACACCCCAACCACTCTAGCTGTTCCCTTACTGAGTGTCACAACCCACCTAGAGTCATGTTCATCTCACTGCCTCACCATCTCAGCAATCTGCCCACTTCTCCCCATTTCCTGCTTTCAGTCCAGCTGAGCTGTCTATACCACAGTTTGGATCTTGATAACAGTAGGGACCTACAAGTCTCTGTAAGACCTAAGTATAGTCTGGATGTAACTTACTCATTCCATCCTTCTTACCTGGCCATGTGGAGCCCCAGTTTCCTCCCCTGTATTACAGGATACCCTGAGGATTGGGGGGGAGGGTTCTATGAGCAGACACTGGCAAGCCTGTAAGAAAGTGCCCAGCCTAGTAAGAATTATCACTCATTTTGGCATTTTGGCCAAAGTGAGCTTTCAAAACAGAAGTCAGGTGGTGTATTCTGAAATTCATGAACTCCCTGGTGTACACTGAGAACACAGTCCAGGTTCTGTGCCCCACCACTGCAGGGTCTTGTGGGCCTTGTGATGCCAGTTCCTTCTTCCTCATGTCCCCCTGTGCCTGGAGTGGCCTTTCTCCCCACATTGCAGGCTGGCTTTGTCTTACACCATGAGTTGTCTCAGTGTAACCATCTCTTACAAGCACTCAGAGAGCCTTTATATCTCTATGGGGCTCCACTGGTGATCTTCTTATCAGCTGTTTCCTCAGTATACTATCAGTTCCAGGAGAGCACGGGAATGTTTCTGTTTTGTCACCACTTTATTCACAGGGCCCAATAGTAGCACTTGATGGTGTGTGTGTGTGTGTACAAGCACTTTGCCACTGAGCTACATCCCCAACACAGCGACTTTTTTGGGGGGAGGGGCAGGTCTGGGGTTTGAACTCAGGGCTCAGGGCTCAGGGCTTTGCACTTGCAAAGCAGGTACTCTATGGGCTGAGCTACACCTCCAGTCCATTTTGCTGTGGGTATTTTGAAGATGGGGTCTCCTGAACTTTTTGACTAGGCTGGCCTTGACCGCTATTCTAATCTCAGCCTCCCTAGTAACTAGGAGATGTAATGACTCTCTTTTTATAGCACTTAACCATTCCTCTCTTTCTCTTTTGCTTTTTCTCTTTCTCCTTCACTTTCTCTTTCTCTTCACTCTCTCTTTTTCTGTTTCTCTTTCTCTTTCACTCTTTCTCTTTCTCTTTCACTTTTTCTCTTTCTCTTTGTTCTGTCTCTCTGTCTCTGTCTCTGTCTCTTTCTCTCTCTTTTTCATTTTTGTGCCAGAGTCTTGCTGTGTAGCCAAAGCTGGTCTTAAACTCACAATCCTCTTGCCTCAGCCTCCTGAGTGCTGAGATTACAGGTATGCAGCACCACACCCTGTTTTCCTTTTTCTTTTTCTTTTTTTTTTTGTTTTTTTCTTTTTTTAAGAGACAGAGTCTCAGTGTGTTGCCCAGGCTGGCTCTGAACTGACCTCAGCCTCCCAAGTAGTTGCATCTGTAGGCATGTACTACAGATGTTCCTAGCTTAACTTTTACATTTGAGTGTATAGATTCATTAGTAGAAAATTATAACCAGGCACTAGTGACTCATACCTGTAATCCTAGCTACTCAGGAAGCAGAGATCAGGAGGATTGTGGTTCGAAGCCAGCCCAGGCAAATCGTTCGAGAGACCCTATCTTGAAAAACCCATCACAAAAAAGGGTTGGTGGAGTACTCAAGGTGTAGGTCCTGAGTTCAAGCCTCAGTAGGGCAAAAAAAAAGGAAAATTAGATATAAGTGCCATAGAGAAATAAACACCCATGATATTACTATCTCGCAATAACTACTGATTTAGTGTAATGCCTTCTAGTTTTCATGTATGTATTACACATGTATATATAGCTCAGATGTACTTAGGAACATTTCAGTATCTATATTTTTGTATTCTGCTCTTTCTCTTATATCTTGAATGCTTTTCTAAACTGCAATCTTTCTTTGAAAAACACCACTTTTAATAGTGCCAGGGCTGGCAGAGTGACTCAGGTGATAAAGAGTGCCTGTCTAGCAAGTGTGAGGCTCTCTTGGATATTTGAATTATTTCCATTGTTTGCTACTATAAATCATCCTTTGGACATTCCTGTGCATTCTTTTGGCCACATTTTGTAGCTCCATTAGTAGAAATGGAATTACAGAGTCAGTGAATATAATCTTTTTAAGCATGAAAAAGATGTTTACACAAATAAGACATGGATTTTGAGAATAGACGTAAGCAAAAGAAGTGTAGTTCTACCATCTACAGCTCACCACTGTCCCCCTATATGAGAATGTTAGCACTTTGTTTTGTTTCATAATTTGAGATGAGCTCTTACAGGCTGGTCTTAAATTCCTATGCTCAAGCTATCCTCTCCACAGTGGCTGGGACCTTAGGTGCATGTCACCGTGCCTGACATCTTGGCACTTTAGACCTCTGTGGTCCATGCCTACCAGGGAGGCTGCTTCTAGTTCACAAAAGAAAGTGAAAGGACCCATTTCCTTGCTCTCCATGCCCAAAACCCCACCTACCCTTTGCCCTCAGAGCCCAGGGAAGCTCCAGATAGCCATCTCTCACTTCTGTTCTCTGGAGTCTGCCCTCCAGAATCAAAGACATCTCCAAGGCAGAAGGTTTATCTGCCCAGATTTGGCCACTTTGGAGAAACCCAGAGGGCTCCAAGCCCTTGTTCTTCATCAGGAAGAATGGCACGACTGGACTGCTGCGTCTTTGGTGCCTACTAGCAAGGGCAGGAGGAAGGATGGCACAACTTGCAAGGGCAGGAGGAAGAATGGCACGACTGGCAAGGGCAGGAGGAAGGGCAAGGAAGGATGCTGAGTCTCAGGATGACGTGAGCAAGACAAGGCTGAGCACTATGCCCATTAGAGGCGGAGGGTGCACAGTGGCACTGAGGGCTGCACAGCTTGCAGTTTAGAGCAAGGGGAGCGCAAGGAAGAAGATGGACGCCAGTTCAGAGCGCAGCTATCTGGCCGTGCTGACACAGGCCACATGGGCATGTTTGTCATGCTCCCCTTCTTAGCACACCCTCCCCTATTTCAGGGACTCATGCAAGCTCCCAACTCGTTCTGCCTTTCCTGGTGGCTTACTTTACCATGATTGTGATCTCATCCTAGCTGTTTGCCTATCCTTGCTGTTCCAGAGCCCCAGAAGTTTTCTGAGGTGACCTCACAGGTTTTACCCTACAGGGAACATGAGATCATGGATTTCTGTAACCTCAACAAACAGCACTGAGCATGGTGGCTCACACCTGTAATCCCAGCAATTTGGAAGGCTGAGGAAGGAGGATGGCAAGTTTGAGACCAGCCTGGAGCATTTAGTGAGACCTGGTATCCTAATAAAAAGTAAAAAAGGACTGTGAATGTAGCTTAGTAGTAAAGCTTGCCTAGCATATGCAAGGACCTGAGTTCATTTACCAGTACCACAAGAAGGAAAAAAAGAAGCATAGAGCCAAAGACTATTTTAAAACAAGCATACTGATTTTACTTAGAGTTGTGGTGCCAATGCTAAGAGCTTGTATATGCTGACCTCTTCACTTAATGTTTAATCTTTAATTTCTCAAGATAGAAGGCTTACAAATATCACCTCTTCCCTCTCACTTCTGGCTCTTTCCCAGACTGCTGTTCTTAGTACAAAGAGAGCAACCCTGGTGTGTCCCCCTACCCCCATGTGTGCACACATACACATGCATGTGTACACACACACACACACACACACACATACACACACACACACACACACAAAACACAGTCTCAACCTTAGAAACAAAGCCTTACTACTCACCCTGGCAGAGTTAGTTAACCCAAGACTCATCTCTGCAGTTGGTGCAGCCCACCAGGAGACACTAGAGTCCCTCAACATGTCTTCCCCACCCCCATCCTCAGTTTTCTTCATACCATCTTGTTCCAAGACAACTTTCATATACTCCCAAAGACTAGTCATAGCCTCATAGACATTATCCCTCTTAAAAACAAATGTGCGGTCCATCAGGTGCCAGGGGCTCACACCTGTAATCCTAGCTTCTCAGGAGGCAGCAATCAGGAGGATCATGGTGCAAAGCCAGGCCAGGCAAACAGTTCTCAAGACCCTATCTCAAAATTAACCAACACAAAAAAGGGCTGGCAACGTGGCTCAAGTAGTAGAGCACCTACATAGCAAGCATGAAGCCTTGAGTTTGAACCCCAGTACCACCAAAAAAAAAACTTAAAGCTGGATGTGGTGGTTCATGCCTATAATCCCGAGCTACTCAGGAGGTGAGGCCCAGGAGGACCTCGAGTTTAAAGCCAACCCAGGCCAAGAAAGGTAGCAAGATCTGTCTCAAAAACAAAAGGGCTGGGGGCATGGCTTAAGTGGTATAGTGCTTGCCTAGCATATTCAAAGTCCTGGGTTTAATCTCTGGTACCAGAAAAAAACAAAACTATGTTAAGCTGGTATGGCTCGGTGGTAGAGCACTTGCCTAGCATGTGCAAGGCTTTGGGTTCCATCCCCAGCACCAGGAGAGGGGGGAAGAAAAAAACACTGAAAAGACAAAGACTAGTATATCAACAGCGGTTATCTTGGGAAGTAGAGGATAGTTGCTATATTAGTCACATACTTTATTGAGTAAACAGATTTTCTTCTCACTTCCACATATTTTGGAAAATGTAACCAATGCCCTGGAGCTTAACAATCCAGATGTTGCCAGGTACCTGGGAGGGTCTTGGAAGCACTTCCAGGTGCCAGAACTGCCTTTGCTCAGTCCCGCATCTCATTTCCTTCTCTCACAGATGAACTGTCCATGGGACTGGGCCGTCTGAAGGACATAGCCCTGGGGATGCAGACGGAAATTGAGGAACAAGATGACATTCTTGACCGACTGACTACCAAAGTGGACAAGTTAGATGTCAATATAAAAAGCACAGAAAGAAAAGTTCGACAACTGTAAAGATAGAGATGGAGTTCCACCATGGTGATGAAAGATTCAAAAGATCTTTTGAAACTCCCAAGAAATTTGATTTGTTTAGTGATTTAACATGTGTTTGCAAATGTTGTAATAGAATGGATCTTCCGAGATTTTGTTTCAATGAAGAAATACCTCCCTAAGTTCTTTCAGCCAAATGCTGAGAGTGTTTAGTCTGAGTGAGCACAGCATCCTAGCTCTGAATACCTTGGGCCTTTGATTACCGTGCTAGAAGGAGAAGAAAAGACTTCAGTTCTCACTTTGATGAGTATGGAACGATGTGGCAGAATTTCAGTCTTGCAACCAACACCCTCTTTTTCCTGTTTGCTGTATTTCTCATTCCTAGGCCTTACTGTAAGTCCAAACGTTGAGGGACCCTGGGTTTGGAGGAGAAGGGTCCTTTTCCAAACATTTGTGTAGTGTCACTTCATGCACTCATACACGCATACACATTGCGCACATTGTTTGTGATTTTCTCCTCCCCCGAAAAGGATTATTGTTAGCTCAGAAATGGAGTGTGTTGCCACCTTTGCTTTTTGTTGACAGATATCACCTCTTCCCCTCCTGCACTCCATCCTTGGCACACATTTTAGTAGGAAGTCTCAGACTATCATGCCTGGAAATGTGCAGGGAATAGGGTGAGCCCATCTCATACGTCTTATCTGTGGATGGGAACAGTCTCTACTGACTCAAAGCCACTTGGTTGGCTGACAGAGGGTGAGGCCCTGTAGAACTTGTGGGAATGGAGTATCACACAGCAGCGGTCTTCCTCCACTGAGCCCTGCGCACGTCTGAGAATGGCCATTGCGAGGCTTGAACAGAGCAGTGTTTATTTGGTGCCTGCAGTCTACAGACCCATCCAGGACTCCCACCCACCTTTCTGCACTTCCTACACGGTGACGTTTGAATCATCACTTTGTTCTCTACCACCCAGTTTTGGGACTAGAACTCCACAAGTGTTGCTGACCTTCTATGGAAGGATTTGCCTAAGGAAGAAAAAAAAGCCCAGACAGACATCTCTTTAACTAGCTCAGTTTATTCATTCTTTTCATTTTACAAAAGGAAACGTTTGGAAGCATTCACTAAATTGATTTCTAGCTGGATGTGGTAGCACATGCCTGAAATCCCAGCGTTTCAGGATCTAGGCAGTTGGATTGCGAGTTCAAAGCCAGCCTGAGCTACAATAGCAAGTTCCAGGCCAGCCTGGGCTACATAGTGAGACCCCCGTCTCCAAAAAATTAAGTAAAACTAAATGAAAATAAAATTCCTGTGTAGAGCAGGCTAGCCTTGAACTCACAATCCTTCTGCCTCAGTTTCCCAAGTGCTGGAGTTACACACCCAGCTTGGATGCTTTTAAAAACAAATTTATTAAGATACTTTGAAGCCGGACAGTGGTGGCTCATGCCTGTAATCCTAGCTACTTGGGAGGCTAAGATCTGGAGGATCTCAGTTTGAGGCCAACTCAGGCAAATAGTGAGACCCAATCTCCAAAATAACCAGAGGAAGGGCTGGAGGCATGACTCAAGAGCGCTTACTAGCAAATACGAAGCCCTGAGTTCAAACCCCAGTACCACCAGTACCACAAAATTAAAACAAAAAAACATTTTAAAAAATGGATTGGAGACATGACTTAAGTGGTAGAGCACCTGCTTTGCAAGTGCAACGCCCTGACTTCAAACCCAGCTCCACCAAAAAAAAAAAAAAGATACTTTGAGTAGTAGGGTACCTGCCTAGAAGCATGAGTTGCTAGGCCCTGAGTTCAAACCAATACTGCCCCCCTCCAAAAAAAAAAAAAAAACGCTTTGAAGATGACAAGAGGGACTGATCTTAATAAGATAGGTCAGAAACTTTAAAATAGCAGTGTCTTCCACCTTAAAACATAGCACTGGCCTATGGGTCCTGTGACATTTCATGATGCTCTCCCTTAGAGTCTGCAGCCTATAAACAGTCTCTCAAAGCAAAGCAAGCTTTGAAGAGATGCCACAGGTCTACGGCCACACCACCCTGAACGCGCCCGGTCTCATCTGAAGAGATGCCACAGGGCTGGGGGTGTGACTCAGTAGAGCACTTGCCTACCATAAGCAAGGTCATAGGGTCAATCCCCAACACTGGAAAAAAAAAAAACCTAACAAAAAGGGGGAGGGGCAACAATGTATTGTAAATGTCTCATCCCATAATATGCAACCTTCCTAAAAGTATTGAAGGCCTGCATGGACAAATACAGCTTTCTGTGAACACTGGTCCTGTCATTTTCTAACCACCTCAGGAAGCCTGATTTTCATCTATCTGAGGATGCAAGGACTTGATTAAAGATAATCAGATTCAACATTTGTTTATCAGATGAGCTCAGCAATAATATTCTCTTGGTAGTTGGTAAAAGGAAATTTGTAAATGTAACACCCAGTACAAAAAAAAAAAAAAAAAAACTAGTACAGTCTTTTACGGGACTTTCAGCAAAAAGGCAGCTCAAATACTTGCAACCAGAATGAAGAGCAAGACTGGAGGATGTAACTCAGATAGAGTATTTGCCTAAAATGCCAGAGGCCCTGGGTTCCATCCCTCAGCACCATTAAAAAAAAAAATTGCAGACCAGCCCATCTGATTTCCACTCCTGATTGTTTACAGGTTTTTTTGCTCTTACAAGTTCTTCATATTTGTCGTAACACTGTTTCTCTTTATCACCATCAGGCAAAGACTCATGATGAAGATGAATCATTATAACTCAGATTAAAAAAATAAATACAGGTAAAGGCCATTGCCAATTCTCATCAGCAGCCTCCATTTGCGTTATGGGATTAGTGACTCATCTAACCTGATACACCTTCCTTTTCTTTTGGCTTATTTATTGTTTCTGTTTTTTTAACCCCAAGTACAGGGAAGAAGAGTAGCCCTCACTTTTCTGGAAATCTGTCTTCCTATAATACAGTAGAGGGCCTCACCTATCTTGTCCTGTTCTCCATCAAACCCTCTTGTAAGGCTTCTGCTAAGGGATTATCCCTGTGCTACTGATGGCTGGCTGCTGCTTCTTCATGTGAAGAAGACTGCTGAGTCTTCACATGCTCCCAAGCCCATGAAAGACTGGTTGCTGATACTACTTTATGAAGCAAAGGTTCTTGCATTTTTACGGAAAACAAAGGAAGACCTGAAGAGGTTCCACATGATGTTGGGATCAAAAAGAAAGCATCTTACCCTCTAGACTAGATATGAGAGTGCTGGGACCGGCCAGGAAATGGGTTATGGTACCACAGCCCAGACCAATGAACTCCTCCTCCTTGTCACACCAGTTCTGCAAAGCAGATTTCCATTTCCACAGTTGAGCGGGAAACAAACTGTGCCTTTTAAAAAGTGGCTTTCCTAACTTTAAGGTTGGTTATTTGCTAAGTGTGCTACTAACAAAAAATAAGTGCATTCTTTTTTGGAGGAGACTGTTTCTAACATTTAGTAATTTGTAACTTAACAACAATGAAGTTACCTTATCTCTTTTGCACTCTGCAGGAAAGGAGACCTGAACTTAACTCGGGTGGCAAGAAAAAAAAAATACAGCAGTGCATTTCAATCTCTTTCTCTTCTTTCTGTAAATATGTAATTTTAAATGTACACTACACTGATTTGGTAAAAATCTGCTTCGCCTACATATGCCTTTTCTGCAGGATTTTTGAAGTTATGAGTGTTGTTAAGCATCTTCAACTCTGATGAGTGAATTGTCTTATGTATAAAATGATAAGCCAGTCATTGAAAGTGCTCATTTGACAAGGATGGGGTGGGGAGTTTGTATTCAGACAGCTTGTATCCTCCATGCCTTCAACTCAACAGATGAGCATATTCCATAAAATATAATGTGAAGTTGTTTGTTAATCAAATTCTGTCTCCTATATAGTTATTTTCAAAAAGAGTGGGCAGAGGGGATCCTCCTTATTGACTCTTCATGTGTTTGGTCCTTGAGGCTCCATTTACAAACCCTCTTGGCTAGAGTTACAGCTCAGTGTTAAAGCGTGTGCTTAGCACGTATGAGTACTGGGTTCAATCCCCAGCACCACAGAAGAAAAGAAAAAGTGAGTTAAAAACCCTTTCATGTCATCAGAGAGCTCTTGTAGCCTGTCTTCTGCCTCCTTGCCCCCTCTTGCAACAAGATCAAGACCTAGCAAACTTCTGCATTTCTTTTCCACTCCCTAGTTGCCTGTCTCCATAAATAGTACCACCTCTCATATGGTACAATGACTCAAAACAAAATTCTCAAGAGTCACGTGTTTTAGTCCTTGTTCTGTTGCTATAACTGAATACTGTAGACTCACTAATTTGTAAAGAGTATGGGTTTATTCAGCCCATGGCTCTGGAGACAGAGGTCCGAGATTGAGGGGCCACACTGTGAAGGCCTTGCTAGGGGAAATTAGCAAACGTCTGTAAAGGGCCAGAAATTGTTTTAAGACTACAGGCCAAACCATCTCTCACAGCTACTCAACTCTGCCATTGTAGCACAAAAGCAGCCAAAGATGATATCTATAAATGAGATGCAGTATTCCAATAAAACTTTATTTTATGAACACAAACATGAATTTCATATAATTTTTCATGTCACAAAATACTAATGTTTGTGTTCCATTCACTTAAAAAATATAAAAACCATTTAGTTCACAGGAGGGAGAAAATGGAGGGAGGTCATTATTTGGCCATGGGTCAAAGTTTGTTGTCCCTGTTAGACTTCTGAGAGGTCCACCCCTTGACTGTGGGGAAGGAAGAACAGCAGACCGCTACACTTTGCAAGCAGTTTTGCCTTCAGGGATCCCAGCTTACCTGCTGGGCAACATTGCAGCCTTCAAGGTCTCCTAAACTTGGCTGTGGAAAGCCAAATGGAGGTGGAGAACAGAATCAAAAGAACGCTGGGACTTGGTGGAAGGGTGAAGGGTAAAGATAAGGAGAAAGATGAGTTACACACCCAAGGAGAGAGGCCTCAGTGAGGCATGGGACCCTACACCATAATCCTAGCACTCAGGAGGCTGAGACGGGAGGATCGTGACTTCCAGGCCAGCCTGGGCTACACAGCGAAGTGGTGTCTCAAAC